CTGCCATTCATATATATAAATTTACTGCATTCACATTCCTAAGGATGCCAACCTTGCATTTCTTAAATGCTGAAATGGACCTTGTTAGTGGTAGCTGGAGGTAGAATTTAACTGGAGGAGGGGCAGAATACCTACGATGTGGGATCAATACTGTCATATCTGCTCCCACGGAAGGAAGGGAACACACCGGAAAAGAGTCCTGCGGTGAGAGAGAATCACTTACTGCAGGGATCAGTTGCTTCACCCTCGCCCACGCGCAACACGGCCACGACAGCCAGCCAGCGTGGGGAAAGGAAGGAAAGAAGAAGCCTTGCACGAAGTGGAGGCGCTTAATCCCCACTGACTGATTGCCACAGATTTAAAACCCTGGAAGTATCAGAATATCAATTTCCTCCAGATTAATGAACAAGGAGTCGCTCAGCATGAGTGTTGGGACTATGGGTGCATGTACACTGCAGAATCAATGCAATCTGACAACACTTGGCTCAAATCTATGGCAGCAGGAGAGTTGTAGTTTAACAGGGTCTTCAGCTTCACCGAACCACAATTCTCAGGATTCCATAGCACTGAGCTATGGCCGTCCAAAATGGTCTCAAACTGCATTAATTCTGCAGTGTAAATCAGGCACGGGCAAACTTTGGCCCTCTTTCCAGGTGTTTTGGACTCCAACTCCCACCATTCCTAACAGCCTCGGGTCCTTTCCTTTTGCCCCTCAACCACTTAAGGGCCCAAGTTTTCCCATGTCTGCCGTAAATGCATTTTGCAGCTCTGAAGACCTGGGTTTGAATCCTGTCCTTGCCATGGAAACCCACTGATTGACCTTGAGTGAGTCACCACACTCTCAGCTGTAGGAACACCCTTAATGGGGGTCACTGTAGGTTGGAAACAACTTGGAAGACACACATCATCAACAACAACAACAAAACAACATCAACAACAGGGAAAGTGCTGGTTTTAAGGAGACCTTGTACAACTATGGAGCCCCCGGAGACACAGCAGGTTAAACCGCTGAGCTGCTGAACTTGCTGACCGAAAGGTCGGCAGTTCAAATAATAATAATAATAAAACTTTATTTATACCCCGCCACCATTTTCCCAAGGGGGACTCAGGGCAGCTAACATGAGGCTAAGCCTGAGAATTACAACAAAGCAAAGTAAAATATATACAACAGAAAATAACATCAAATCAAATGCAAACAATCTATTTGTAATGTAATGTTCGTTTGTGGGATTAACAGAACTCAAAAACCACTGGGCGAATTGACACCAAATTTGGACACAAGACACCTCTCAAGCCAACGAGTGACCAGCACTCATAAAACACTGAAAAACACAGCAGAAGGGACTTAAAAAGCAAAAAAACAAAAAAACATTACAACACACGCGCAAAGTCACATATATATACACAAACACACATATATACACACATATATGCATATACACACACAAAACACATACACAGAAAGGAGGAAGGAAGGGAGAGAAGGAGGGATAGAAGGAAGGAAAGAAAGAAGGGTAGAGAAGGAAGGAGGGAAAGGAGGGAAGGAGAGAAAGAAGGAAAGAAAGAAAGGTAGAGAAGGAAGGAGGGAGAGAAAGAGGGAGAGATGGGAAAGAAGGAGGGAAGGAGAGAAGGAAGAAAAAAAGAAGGGTAGAGAAGGAAGGGAGGAGAGAAGGAGGAAGAGAAAGAGGGAAGGAGAGAAGGAAGGAAGGAAAGAAGGGTAGAGAAGGAAGGAAGGAGAGGGAGGGAAAGAAGGAGGGAAGGAGATAAAGAAGGAAAGACAGAAGAGTAGAGAAGGAAGGAAGGAGAGACAAAGGAAGCAAGAAAAGAAACAGTAGAGGAGGAAGAAAGAAGAAGGGAAAAAAAGAGGGAAGGAAGGAAAGAGGAAGGGAAGGAGGAAGGAAGAGAAGGAAGGAGAGAAAGAAAGAAGGGAGAGAAAGAGGGAGGGAAGCTTGGCCACAGCAACGTGGCAGAAACAATAATGAAATAATTCAACAGGGTAAACAGAAGATATAAAATAAAATAATGAAGGAATTGAACACAGTGGGTTGGGCCAAATGCAAGGGGTAAAATTAAAACCCTGGATGAGGTAGATAAATAGAGTAGAATCCAGGGAGCGGGGTGAGCTCCTGCTGTTAGCCCCAGCTTCTGCCAACCTGTTAGCCCCAGCTTCTGCCAGTTTGAAAACATGCAAATGTGAGTAGATCAATAGGTACTTCGTGTCAGGAGCAAGTTGCTTCTGGTGTGAGAGAATTGGCCGTCTACAAGGACGTTGCCCAGGGGAGGCCCGGATGATTTGATATTTTTATCATCCTTGTGGGAGGCTTCTCACATGTCCCCGCATGAGGAGTCGGAGCTGATAGAGGGAGCTCATTCACCTCTCCTCGTATTCGAACCTGTGACCTGTCGGGGAAGGTAATGGTGCTCTATGCAGTCATGCTGGCCACATGACCTTGGAGACGTCTATGGACAACGCCGGCTCTTCAGCTTAGAAACACAACTAGCCTTAATGTCCAGGGGAAACTTTTACCTTTCCCTGTATACTACAACCCCCAAGATCCCACAGCACTGTAGTGGTGTCAAACTGGATTAATTTGACTGTGTAGATCAGTGGTTTCCAAACTCTAGGTATTTGGGATTTCAGCAGTCCTGGCCACAAAAATCTAAGATTCTGGGAGTCCAAAAGAGTTGGAAGGACCAGGGTTTGGGAATCTGATGACCCTAGGAAGGCACTGCTGCTCCTATTACCTAAGACATATGGGGGTTCCCATCCTTGCCCCCCCCCCCCAAAACGAACCCTAAATAAGCCCTGTGTATATCATAGAATCATAGAATCAAAGAGTTGGAAGAGACCTCATGGGCCATCCAGTCCAACCCCCTGCCAAGAAGCAGGAATATTGCATTCAAATCACCCCTGACAGATGGCCATCCAGCCTCTGTTTAAAAGCTTCCAAAGAAGGAGCCTCCACCACACTCCGGGGCAGAGAGTTCCACTGCTGAACGGCTCTCACAGTCAGGAAGTTCTTCCTCATGTTCAGATGGAATCTCTTGTAGTTTGAAGCCATTGTTCCATTGCGTCCTAGTCTCCAGGGAAGCAGGAAACAAGCTTGCTCCCTCCTCCCTGTGGCTTCCTCTCACATATTTATACATGGCTATCATATCTCCTCTCAGCCTTCTCTTCTTCAGGCTAAACATGCCCAGCTCCTTAAGCCGCTCCTCATAGGGCTTGTTCTCCAGACCCTTGATCATTTTAGTCGCTCTCCTCTGGACACATTCCAGCTTGTCAATATCTCTCTCGAATTGTGGTGCCCAGAATTGGACACAATATTCCAAAGCATGACCCAAAAGCAACCGCGCCACCTCCTTGCAGCTGGTGCAATGCAAACCCTCCATGCAAATGCACCACCAGCCAAAGGACAACAACAAGGCCACTCTCCAGGGAAGAGAGGAAACGCAATCTAGGACTCTGGGTGTGCCTACACTATGGAATTAACGCAGAATGAACCCGCTTCAATGCTACATTACTTTAGGAGTTGCAACTGGACAAGGTGTTTCAGCCTTCTGTGCCTCCCAGCGAACTACAAAGCCTAGGATTCCAAAGCGGTATCAAACTGCGTTAAATCAACAGTGTAGCGGCACCCATAGTTCTGTAACAGTATAATGTGCAAATATCCACAATTCATCCATAAATCTTACCTTTTTATATATCCTCGTGGAGGGATTCTCGCGTGGAAACTTTGCTAAGCCATAGTGTGGACCAAAGGAAAAAAAACACAAAGCTAAAAATGCAAAAAAACCACTCTGGGTTGCTTCTCAGTCCCAGGAAACTCTCAGCAGCAGCGCTCACGTTGGCAGCAGTTGCTGACTGCCGCTGCTGGACACGAGGGACGGCGACCACACGGGAGGGGGCCTTGGAGAGCTTGACCTGAGTCCCGTCTTAAAGAGACACGCGCGCTCCTCGGCGCCGGGAATAGCAGGACTCCAGGGAGCGCCCCCCGTCGGAGCATTGGTCGCGCCCGCTCTCAACACACTGGCACAATCAAACCACCCCCTCCCTCCCTCCGGAATAGGGAGAATGGTACGTTCCGAACTTACAGTATATGAAAAAAAGGAGCGCGGGCAGCGATTGGTTAAAGCGCGAGCGGCGGCGGCCAATGGGAAGCGAGCAAAGGGAAAACTGGAAAGGACTGCAGCAGGGCAAT